TCTTTTGGCTTCTGCTCCTTCTGGTTCGGAGCCGGTCGCTCTCTTTCTGGGACCCTCAGCTTCCTCGTCGGGAGAACGAGGCGCGGGGAGACGGAATGGCCTCACCGGCTCGAGCTGGAGTGGGCGCAGACTGAAGAGAGTTTTTTAAAACGTGTCTGCGTGGACACGGCTTGCACAGGGTTACGCGTCGGGAGAGGCCACGGGTGCACCCCCGCCCCGCCCGCCCCGCGGCTGGGGCCCCTGGGCCTTTCGGAGGTGTTCCGGGAGACGGCAGCGAGAACCAGAACCCTGCCCCTTCCCGCGGGCCCGCTCCGGGCGCTGCCTGCGGCCCCTCGGGCTGCCCCGCAGCTCCTCCGCCCACCCGGGCGGGCCACCCCCGGCCGCCAGGACCCTTCCCCGCCGGGCGCCCCGACATCCAGCCCTTGTCCCTGAATCCCAGGGGCTCCTCGTGGCTCGTGGCGCCCGCTCCCTCGGGCTTCTCTGCGCGCCTCTCCCCTTGGCCCTCGGGGATCCCCCGCGAGCCCCGTCTTGGAACCGGCCCTTCCCGGCCCCTCAGACCCAGCAGGGTTTGGCTTGAAGAAGGGGGCACGTGGACTTGACTTCCTGGGGGGCCTCGGGTCATTCCCTTCAGACAGCTGTGTGTTTTTGTTTCGTTTGTTTTGTTTTAAACGGAAACATTTTTTTCTAATGTCTGATCCCGGGTCCGTTTTTTTAGTTCCTGTTTTTACATTCATCCATTCATTTATTCGTTCAACGAATATTTATGAAAATACTTTTCATGCACCCATTTCGTGCGGGTCCCAGGATGGGTAATCCTGTCACCTTCCCCAAACGGGGACAGGCCTGAGACCAGCAAAAAGGCTCCTGGTTGGTGCGGGGTGGGTGGCCGGGTTCCCATGGCATGGACAGCCGTGGGAAAAGCACCCCAGACCCTGGTGCCACTCGGCCTCTGCATCAGGACATGTCACTGTGTGGTGGTTGGAGCCGGGTGACTCACAGCCCCAAATCCGTGCTAAGGTCCCCAGCCAACCCCCTGTTCTCATCTGCCACCCTCTTCACCAGGGAACCTTTGGGGGCTTTGGTGGGTTCCCGGGACAGAATAGCACCTTGCTGACACCAGGGCACTTGCTGCCTCCGGCTTCTATTTCTAGTGCAAGGAGGAGCAGGTTATTGGAGAAAGGAGACTAGCTACTGAGTGCAGGTGCCATTTTCAATCAGAAAAAAAAATACATTATTCTGTGCTCCACTCATGTGAGGATTTGAAGTAAGAGACCCCGGAATCTGGGGATGAGAGATGGGCTTGTCTTCATCTTCCAGAATCAGCTAGGCTTACAAGCCTGTGGGGAGCACAGGGTGAGGCGACCAGTGCGATTCTGCTCTCCATGGGGAAGCCAGTTCCTCTTCAGACGGGGGTCCTGGGGGGGGAGTCCTGTGTGAGTCAGGAAAAGAGGCTGGCCACATTGTGGGGAAGGGACCCCCCTAGAGAGCCTGGGTCAGTTCTCAGCAGAAATTAGGGGAAGTTTGGCAGATTGGAGTGCTGTTTTGCTGTTTGTTTTAAATAGGGATTCTCCCGTATAGAGCTGGCATCAGAACAGTCATAAATGACCCAGAATTATCTTTCTTGTTTGGCAACCTGTGTGCCTCCGTTTCCCTGGTTTTGAAAAGGACTTGCGTCTTTTTTCTTTTTTGACACTGTTTATGGGCTCTTCAGCAAGTGGCAGAGTCGAAAGAGAAAACAGCAGATCCTTTTTTTTAATGTTCAATTTAAAAAAAAAAAGGCCAGACACAACAGCTTAATAAGACCTCATCACTAAAAAAAAAGAAAAGAAAAAAGAAGGCAGCAGATCGTAAAAATCCTAAAGAATGAACTTTCTGTAAACATATGCATTCTACCACTCCTCCCCCAGAATAGGAGACATGATTTAGAATCAGCCCAGTCGGTTTCTCTAGAGCATCATCTTTCTTCCTCACACCCCACATTCTCCCCTAAAGTGTTGGAGCCGACACCAGCACAGGAATGGATGGGGGCTCAAAGACTTTTGCTTTTTGGTGGTTTTCAGGTGAGGACATGGTGGTGAGGTATTCTAAGCTTGCACTGGTCTGGGGTTCGTATGGCAGGGGTTGGGAGGGGACACCCCGTCCTCACAAGTTCACTGAATGTCATTGCCGGGGGCTTGTGGGTGGGAGTCGGGTAAAGGTTGCCCAAAGCCTGGTAAAACTGAGGTCTGAAAAGAGTAGGGTTTGTACTTAGGGGCATATTCAAGAAATGGGGTTTAGGGCTTCCTGGTGCTGGAGGCAACATTTACGGTTGGAATGTATTTCTTCGGGCATTTTCCCAGGGTGAGAGAATGTCATTTTCACCAGATTCTTGAGGCAGTCAGTGTATGACACAAAACAGGTCCTGGGGAGGAGATGCTCTGTGGGGCCTGGGGGCCGTGCCTGTGGGCTCTGTGGGTGGCCACGGGTGAGTGGCTGGGTCTGTGTGTTGGGGGTGCCTGGGAGGCGTCCTGGCCTTCTGCCCATAGGAGGGGATAGGAAGGCTCGAGGCAGCGGAGGGAGCTGGAGGAAGGTGAGCAGGCGAGGAGGAGGGCGACGGGTGGGTGAGGGGCTGGGAATCAGGTGCTGGCTGTGCTAACGCTGAAGCTGACGCCACACCTGACCTTCTGGTGACTCTTGTAACTATGGAATTGAAGTCACCTCTGGTGTCTGAGCAGAGCCCAGGAAGCAGGTCTGGGTGGGACTGAGCCATTTATTTACCTGCTGAGCCCTCCTCTCTGTGCTTGGGAGGAAAAGGGGCCACAGTTTTATAGAATGTCCTTCTTAACAGCTTTTCCCCAGAGCACCTCTGTGTGAAATGTCCCTAAGGCTGAAATAATCTCTCCACCAGAGGGTATAGTATGGGTTTCAGCCATGATGGAAAAGAATCAGAGGGCTAGGCTATGAGCATGTGTGTGTGTGGATATGAGTGTGTGTGTGAGATTGTGTGTAGGTAGTGGGTGTATGAGTGTGTGTGGATATATGTGAGTGTGTGCAGCTATGTGTGTGAGTGTGTGAGAGTTTGTGTATGGATACATGTTTAAGTGTGCATGTAGATGTGTGTGCGTAGATATGTGAGTGTGTGAGAGTTTGTACATATGTGTGTGAGAGAGTTTGTGCATACACATATGTGTGTAGATATGTACATATATGTATGTAGATGACATGTGTGGATATGTGGATATATGTGGGAGTTTGCGCATAGATTATGAGTGTGTAAGAGAATTTGTGTGTAGATATGTGAGTGTGTGTAGATGTGTGTGTGAGAGATCATGTCTGATGTGCTTAGCCAGCTGGATTTGGCTTCTGCGGGAGGCACAGGGGAGGCCATGCCACTCTGAGACAGACTCTTTCCATCTGCGAGTCCTGAGTGTCCGGTCTTCCCCCTCAGGACCATCTTTACCTCCTACCAGCTAGAGGAGCTGGAGAAGGCGTTCAACGAGGCCCACTACCCCGATGTCTACGCCCGGGAGATGCTGGCCATGAAGACAGAGCTGCCGGAGGACAGGATACAGGTAATGGCCCCGAGGGCCCTCCTTCGCCTTCGCGCAGGACGCCCAGGACCGCAGCCCCACTGTGAGCTCGTGCCTTCGCGTTCTGTCCTCAGGAAGAGCAGTTCCTTTGAGACGACGGGTATTTGCGGAACACCTCCAGGTGGGGTGGGCGTGGCAGGAACGTTCTGTCGGGGTGACGGTGGTACCAGCCAGACCCTGAGGCGCCGCCGGTGAAAAACAGAGTGTGGACAAGTGCCAGGCTCGAAGCGGGGTCTCCGTTGGGGTGGATGTGGATGTCTTCTTGGTAGTGCTAAAGTCTGCTTGGAGGTCAAGGGTGGCCCCGGGCCTCCATGGATGGCTGTGAGGAAGATGGCAGCCAGTCCTGACCCACACGGTTCCCTTCCCTCCACTCCTTTACCAGTTGGCAGTGCCGCCCCCCCCCATGTCCCACTGCTCCTCTAACCACTCCATCCTCCAAGAGGCCTTACTCCCCTCACCCCGTCAGCTGCTGGCCCTGCCTGAGCTTCTGCTCCTTTTCTTCTCCTAGATCTGGCTCAGGATGTGACCTGGGGATGGTGGGGGGAAGGGGGGATGCAGGTGTGCTCACAAGCCCTCCTCCTCTGCCACTGAGCTGAGCTGTGCAGCGTGTTCTCAGCTGTGGTGGGTGTGGGCCTCTCAGCGGCTGGGTGGGGTCGCCGCATCATTTCTCTGGGAGAAGATGGAGTCTGAGGGTTCTCTGGGCAGGGCCTCCTGAGGCAGGAAATGTGAGGGTGGGAGTTGCTTCCCAGGGGCTCCACCTTAGATGAAAGCCCAGCAGTCCAGAGTGCAGTTCCCCTCTGGGGCTTGGGAGTGGGACAGGAAGGCCCTGACTTCCTGAAGCTTCTGCTCTGCAGCTCCTCGCATTGGGTCCTCGTGTCTCCAGGTGTGCAGTGTGCCTGGGAGGGGGTGCCTTAGAGAAGGAGCTACCTAAGGTGTGCAGGTCACTCTGTACCTCTCACTGCAGCACCAGAGACTGGGAGAGGAGTCTGGGAGCTGCTTTTCCAGGGGCTTCCTCTCCCCTGGAAATCTATCTGGAATTTCAGCTGATGGCTTTAGACACTGACACTAACAATGAGCTCAATTATTCATAAGCAGATTATGTGTGGTGCATTATCCATGGGGCCTGGACCCACCACCTCCTACCCATTGGGTTGTAGTTGGTGATTCTGCATCATGTGTCTGTGACTGCGTGTGTGTGTGTGTGTGTGTGTGTGTGTGTGTGAGAGAGAGAGAGAGAGAGAGAGAGAGCGCGCGCCGAGGCCCAGTCTAGTCCATGGGTGGCATCACCCCTACCTAGTCTTCATTAGTACAAAGTTGGCCATTACCAGAAGCCGCGGGGAGGAACGCTGACAATCTCTACTGTTGGCAGGCCCCACATTTGCACGATTGACCAGTGAGAAGAAGGAACAGTTTGTCTTTTGCAGTGGCTTGTCCTAAAATCTGTGTGACTGTTGGGGCGGGTTGGGGGAAGGGTGTTTGAAACTGCTGAGCTCAGGATCTGGGGAGGTTCACTCAGTGCTGCTGTGACTGCATGGCTGCCAATGCCCCAGCAGGCACCCCAGGCCTTGTTGGGTTTCCTGGGGACTGTCTACACACGGGGTAGTGTCTGAAACCCCAGAACCCTCAGAAGGAGGAAGGGCCTGGAGTGAGGAGAACATTGCCCTGAGGCAGTGAGGATAGGCTCTGCAGTCTGTGAATGTGGGAGAAAAGAGGTGAGAGTTTCCGGGACCCTTTGAGCACCACATGGCTGCTGCAATCCCAGAAGGTGTGTATGCGCATTGCCAAGTAGCCCCAAAGCGTTTCACAAGGTGGCCTGGGAAAGATCTCAGTGCGTATCAATACCAATCACAGCTATAATTTCCAGAGCAGTTTGCATGTGCCAGGTGCTCTCCTGAGTGTGTGACGTATACAGGAAAGGCAGGGCAGTGGAATGGCACTCCGGAACCAGGCTGCCTGGGTTCATGGTCAGGTGTCACCCCCCAGGCCTCCTTCCTAGTTCTCATCTGTGCAGTGCGGATGGCGGGCATCTGCCTCTTGTGCCGATGAGCCTTGTATGTCCTGTTTAGAGCTGTGCCTGGCAGGTGCCCCACCCACTCAGTGTCAGCTCTGACCTCATTAAATCCTTGTGATGATGGGGGTGGAGAAAAGATAGAGACTAGTAGCCTCCTTTGAGCATGGAGGAGGCCAAGGCACAGTAACCACCTCCAGGGCATGCAACTAGAAAGTGCCAGACACAAGGCTGGAACCTAGCTCTGAATCAAAGTGTTGGCTCTGACATAAAGCTGGGGGAACAGAGGTGATTTGATGTCAGGTGAAGGGTCTGTATCACAATCTCTTTATAAAGATAATTAATACTCATTTAGTGCTAGGCACTATTTTTGTTTTGTTTTTTTGAGTTGGAGTCTTACTCCATCGCCCAGGCTGGAGAACAGTGGCACGCTCACAGCTACCCCAGCGACGACCTGCTGGACTCTGGCGATCCTTCCACCTCAGCCTTCCAAGTAGCCAGGACTACAGGCACGAGCTACCATGTCCAGCTAATTTTTTGATTTATTGTAGAGGCAAGGTCTCACCATGTTGCCCAGGCTGGTCTTGAACCTGTGGGCTCAGGCAGCCCTCTTGCCTCAGCCTCTCAAAGTGCTGGGATTACCAGCTTGAGTCACTATGCCCAAGGGCACAGTTCTTAAAAAAAAAAAAAAAAAAGGCCAAAACTCACTTATAACAAAATTATGTTTTTGAATGGGCAAACTCATGTACATGAACTCAAGAAGCTGAAAAACGAGTACCCCCTCACCAGCAGCCCTGCATTTGGTCACTAGTGTCTTTGGTTCCCTTCCGGAGACAGTTTATGTGTGTTCAGAAGAGTCCTTGGAACACCTGGTGAGCTAGGTACTATTATTCCCATTTCACAGCTGAGGAGCCTGAGACACAGGCCAGAATTCAGAGTTGAATCCCTTTGGGCTCCAGAACCCTTGCATCACCATATTGCCTCTGTCCTCATCACCCCCACCCCAGTGGTTGGATTAAATGGGAACAGGGTGGGGTCGGAGGACTTTATGGTGGGTGTGGGTGGAGGAGGGGAAGGAGGAGTTACTAGAAGCTTGCAGGTCTGCAGTTCCAAGGTGGAATGAAAAGGTTATTGAACGGAAGGGTCGGGGACCTAGACCTTACTCTGGCTCTGATAACTGGCCAAGGCCAGGCCCTACCCATCCTGGATGTTGGCTTCCTACTCTGTAGAAGGAAGAGGTAGGATCCTTCCCAGGGGAGGGGCCTTCTCAGGCTGTCCTGAGTTGCCCTTGAGCTGCCTTGACAAGAGTGCAGGGCAGGTGGGGTTTCGCAGCCCCGAGTGGACATCGGGACTCACACCCCGCAGGGCCAGCCCAAGTAAGCCCTTGCACACGGCTGCAGTCTCCTGCTAATGTCTAATGAGAACCCACAGTGTGCCTGTGAAAAGTCAGGCACACCTACTTCTAATCTTTGTTTCACTGCCAGCGAGCCAACCTCTGAGCCTCAAATTGCTCATTTGTAAAATAACATCATAACATTTTTCCAAAATACTACTTTAATAAGAGTAGAGTTATGACTGACATTTATTAAGTCCCCACCATTGTTCCAGATAGTAAGTGCTTTCCATGCCTTGTTTCACTGAATCCTTAACAAGCAGGTGAATTAGATGTCATTCCTATTCCCATTTTCTGGATGAGGAAACTGAGGGGCTGAGAGGTGAAGTAAGAAAGACTGGGATTCAGACCCAGAACTCAACCACTGTCACATGCGATCCCATGAGGTAAATTTGACTGCCTCCCTGCACAGACTGTGATCATGCAAATAACGGTGATGATCAGCAGTCCCAGCAGCAGGGGACAGTTTCCTCTGTCTTTGTGCTTTGAAGGTAAGCGCATTCTCACTCTGCCTCTCTGGGTTGGGGATGGAGGGAAAGGGCACAGCGCTGGGGACAGGGAAGATCCCGAGTCTCCACGCAGACTCAGGCACACAGTCCTCTTTGTGGCTCCAAAAAACTGCTGGGATGTGGTGTTCTGGGAGCCCTGGGGACAGGGAGATGAGTTTCCAGGTGGGTATCTTGTTACTGCAATTGTAAGGTCAGGCTATATATATATATATGTATACTTGTCTATTTATATCTATAGATATTTATGATATATCACCACTTATTTATTTTTTTTCTGACAAAAGTTGTCCTTGTTATAAAATGCAAACATGGTCGGGCTCGGTGGCTCAGCCTGTAATCCCGCGCCTTGGGAGGCTGAGGTGAGTGGATTGCCTGAGCCCGCGGGTTCAAGACCTGCCTGGGCAACTTGGCGAGACCTCATCTCTACCATAAATCAAAAATCAGCTGGGCGTGGTAGTGCGCGCCTGTTTTTCCGGCTACTGGGAAGGCTGAGGCGGAAGGATCGCCGGAGCCCAGCAGGTGAAGCTGTGGTGGCCGGGAGCGGCCACTGCACTCCAGTCTGGGCGACCGAGTGAGACTCCAACTCAAAATAAAATAAAATAAAATGCAAACATGACAGAGCTATGGGTGTGCAAAGCAAACAAAGACAAGGTTTCACTCGCTCTTAGCAGCTTCGAGCAAGTGTGGGGTGTGGGTTCTCTGATGAGCGCTGCTCAGCCTTTCCGCTCTTGAAGTGGTCCCTGCCCAGGGTAGGGGATGAGTACGAGGGGTCATCTTCTGGAAGTCAGAAGGTGGGCCTGGCGGGGAAGGCCGTATCTCTGCTCGGGATGTTTCATTGAGTCACTGGGAAGATTTTTCAATGTCCACTCAGGGCCCCCACACCCAGCAACTCTGATTTAATGGACTTGGAATTAAGCATCTGTGTGTTGGCATGTGTGTGTTTAAACTCTCTCCGAATGGTTCCGTATGTGGTCCATGTAAGAACACTGGGTCAGGGGCTTGGGAAGGGGTTTCTGTGTTCTAAGTGGGCTAAAGTGAGTTGGAAGACAGTGGAGTTTGGGGTGACGGGGTG